AAAGAAAGAAAGAAAGAAAGAAAGATAGTCATGTATACATTCAGGATAGCTTGGATAGTTGTACTGCTGATTTCTGATGGTCTGTTGAAAGGAACAGTTAATATCTAATTTTTTTCCATAATTTTATTGAGAAACAAATAACAATGAGACAGTTTCAATCCAAATTGGTAGGACAGTTTCAATAATTAACACATTTCATGCATTCTTCCTAGTGGTTAATTGCAATATAAGATGTGGACATAATATCCTATTTACAAACACCATTAGAACAATTCCCTCTATTCATTAAGAGAATGCAACTATGTATCTATCCTAACCATTTTGCATACACAGATACAAAATGGATATTCATTTGTATCCCCTTTTTTGTTAAGTTCCATTATATGAATATTATAGGTGTGTTAACTCAGAAAAATAATATCTAATTTTTTTGTCTTTTCCTTTTTAATCTCATAACTTTTTTAACCAATTTTGTATGCATCTATCTGGTAATCTAAATAACTAATTGAGGACAATAGTATGCAATATAGCAGCCATTGTTGAATTCCTATTATTTTGTTTAGTGAAATTGTGTATTGTTTCTAATGTTTTCTTACTGTTTTTATTCTTAGTGGGGCAGGGGAGATGGCTCAGTAGAATATGTGCTTCTTTGGCAAGTTCAAGGACCTGAGTTCAATCCCGGGATCAGAAAAAAAAAAAAACACAAAAAAAAACAAAACACCACACACTATTTTCACTTTTTTTTTTTTCGGAACCAGGGATTGAACTCAGGCCCTTGTGCTTCCCAGGGAAGTGCTTATTCTACTGAGCCATCTCCCCGGCCCCATTATTTTTATTCTTAAAAAAGAAAAAAGAAAAATATAGTTTACTCAATGTAGAATAAGAAGGTATTAAATAAGGGCCAGGGAGATGGCTCAGTAGAATAAGTGCTTGCCCGGCCTGGCAAGCACAAGGTTCTGAGTTCAATCCCCAGTTCTGCAAAAAAGAAAAAAAAAAAAAAAGAAGGTACTAAAAGAAAAAGCATATTAATGCTTTTATGTATTTCTAATGCTTTGTCACCTATTTCTCTTTCTTCTTCATGTTTCATGGTTTTTTCTTTCATGCTTCATGGCATTTTTATGTACTATTTAATGTTCTTCTAAATATACAATAATTAAAAATTTATTTCTGCTTGTCTATGGAAATGAGCAGTTACAGCTTTAGTTTTTTTCCCTAATTTGTTAATAGTTTCTTTTCAACAAATACTGTCAAATTTAAATTATTTTGTTCAATGAAATTCTGTGTCATTAATCTTTATTTTGCATTGTCTTTAAAAAATAAAATAAAAAATTATTATCATAAAATTTACTTTTTTATTTATATTGTTCAACATGAGCTTAAAAGTAATACATAGGAGTATTTAGTTCAAATGCATCACCAAAATTACACAATACTCTAATTCTCTAATATGAAAATTAGGTGAGAAAATGCTACTGAAGATGCTAAAATATTCTGTAAAGTACAATAGATACTGTGAAAGGGAAAGAATCCTCAAAGGGAAGAAACAACTGGGATGAGGAGAAGGATGAAAGAAAATAAAGATCTATATACAGTGAGAGAGAGAGAGACAGAGACAGAGAGAGACAGAGAGAGACAAAAGAAGAAAGAAAGAAAGAAAGAAAGAAAGAAAGAAAGAAAGAAGAAAGAAAGAGAAAGAAAAAACAAAGAAAATATATTCATGTTTCATGAATTTATTCTCATTCATATTCTCATTGCTATTTGTTTCTCAATAAAATTTTTCCTTAATTAATTGTATTGGTACATTTGAGATATAAATAATGATCATATTCATCATGGGAAATTTGTACCTGTACATAATATATCTTGATTCTTTTCTTTCCCCTGATCCCCTGCCCTCCATGTAAACCCTCTTCCCCTCCTTGTTTACAAAAGCTTCATGTAAATTTTTTCCTTCTGTTCTCTATTTTTGCTTTTCCCTTCTGTACTTTTCCCCTCCATTCTCCCTTGTTCCCTTTCACACTTGAATATTTTTTCTCATTTCCCAATATTTATTAGACATTTTGTCTCACTTGGCTCGGACTCTTGGTAATATGCTTAAGTTTTTTATGACATTTTGGTCCTTATTCTTTCAATGTGGTACTGGGGATTGAACTCAGGACCCTGCACTTGCCAGGCAAGCGCTTATTCTACTGAGCTATTTCACCAGCCCAAGTTTATCCTTCTTTATGGCTAAGTAGTGCTCCATTATATAAAGAACCACATCTTTATCCATCCTTCCAATGATGGGCATTTAGGCTTTTTCCAAGATTTAGCTATAATAAATTGTGCTGCTATAAACATGGGTGCTCATATATCACTGTGGTATAATGCTTTTAGTTCTTCTGGAAAGATACCAAAACTGGAAATAGATGAATCAAATGGAGCCACTAGTTTTAGTTTTTTAAGAAATCTCCACACTGATATCTATGTTGCTTTCACCAGTCTACATTCCCTTCACCAGTGAAAAAGGGTTCTTTTCACATTACAGCTGCACCATCATACTGTATTGGATGACTTCTTCATGATAGTTATTATTTCTAGGATGACATTCTCAATATTGTTTTAATTTACATACCTCAAATGGCCAGTGATGCTAAACATTTTTTCATATATTTATTTGCTGTTTATAATTCTTCATCAGAGAAGTGTCAATTCATTTCAAATGCCCATTTTTGGATTGAGTCTTCAAATTGGGGGAACTACAACTGACTTTTTTGAGGTCTTTATACATTTGAAATATCAACACTGTCTGAGGAGTAGCTGGCAAATAATTTTTCCACTCTATGTGTTGTCTCTGCATTCTGCTGATGATTTATTCTGTTAAGCAAAGGCTCTTTAGTGAGATGAGAACACAGTTGTTGATGCTTTGTAATATTTCCTCTGTGATCAGGGTTTTGATCACAAACTTTGTTTTCCACCTTTGAGTCCATCTTTGTCTTCAAATGTTCTACTTATTCTGTCTTCATGTATATTTAATCTTTCTATTTTAATATTTAGATCTTAATCCATTTTGATTTTGGTTTAGTGCATAATAAGAGATATACTTCTAGTATTAATGTTTGACATGTGGAAAGCCATTTTTTCCAGCACCATTTATTGAGACTACCTTTCATCTAGTGAAAATAGTTGGCCCCTTTGCCAAAGATAAGGTGAGTCCATTTGGAGTTTTTTCTGCATAACCAAATGTTTCATTGATCCTCATTTCTGTGTTTTGTTTTGCTTTTTGTTGGTAGAATTCTATTTTTATTATAGTAATTTGGAGAGTAATTTGAAGCCATGGAATGTGATGCCCCCTGACTGGCTTATATTGCTCTGAATTGATTTAATATTCTATGTCGCTTCTGGTTCCAGATAACTTTTAGGAATGTTTTCTGTAATTTTGCGGGTATGCTATTGGTATTTTCAGGATTGCATTAAATCTTTGTAACAATTTTGAGAGTAGGGAAGTTTTCACTATACTGTTCTTCCAATCCAAGCATAGGGGACTTCTTTCACTTTTCTAACATCCTGTTCTATCTCTTTCTTCAGAGTACTGTAATTTTCAGTGTATAAGTCTTTTATATCCTTTGTGAGACTGACTCCTAAGTATTTAATTTTCTGATGCTATTGTGAAATGTGTTGGTTTCCTTAATTTCTCTTTCAGTGATTTTTTTTGTATTTGTGTACAGGAATGATATTGTTTTTTGAGTGTTGACTTTGTATCCAGATATGCTATTAAATTTGGTTATTAAATCTAGAAGCGTTTTGGTGGAGTTTTGGAGATTTCTCATGTACAGCATCATGTCATCTATAAATAATTTAACCTCTTTCTTTCCTATATTTATTCTTGTTATTTGTTTCCCTTATCTAATTTCTCTGGCTGATGTTTCCAGATCTATATTGAGTAGGAGTGGTGGTAATGGGCATCAGTGCCTTGTTACTGATTGCAAAGTGAAAGCTTTCAGATTTTGACCATTTAATATGATGTTGGCAGTTATTTTTTCAAAGGTTTTTATGAGATTGGGATACAGATTATCTATTCCAGTTTTTGGTAGTCTTCATCATGAATGAGTGTTAGAACTTGTTGAATGTTTTTACACATC